CCAAATAGCTGATTCAAGTAAAAATGTAAGTAGAAGGATCATTCCCTACCCCCCCCAGGCCAAACACTAAATAGCTGATTCAAGTAAATATGTAAGTAGAAGGATCCCTCCTCACCCCCCCAACCAAACCTTAAATAGCTGATTCAAGTAAATATGTAAGTAGAAGGATCATTCCCTACCCCCCAACCAAACCCTAAATAGCTGATTCAAGTAAATAAGTAAGTAGAAGGATCCCTCCCCACCTCCCCAACCAAACCCTAACTAGCTGGTTCAAGAAAATATGTAAGTATATAGACGGATCATTCCCCACCCCACCACCAAACCCTAAATGGCTGAGTCAAGTAGTTATGTAAGTAGAAGGACACCTCCTCAACCCCCCCAGCCAAGTCCTACATGGCTGAGTCAAGTAAATATGGAAGTAGAAGGATTTTTCACCAGCCGATTAACCAAACCCTAACTAGCTGATTCAAGCAAATCTGTAGGTAGAAGGATCCCTCCCCACCATAATTATGTAAGTAGAAGGATTCCTCCCCACCCGCCCCACCCAAACCCCAAATAGTTGATTCAAGTAAATATGTAAGTAGAAGGGTCATTCCCCACCCCCCAACCAAACCCTAAACAGCTGAGTCAAGTAGTTATGTAAGTAGAAGGGTCCCTCCCCAGCCCCGAACCAAACCCTACATGGCTGAGCCAAGTAAATATGTAAGTAGAAGGCTAGCCAAACCCTAAATAGCTGATTCAAGTAAATATGTAAGTAGAAGGATCCCTCTCCACCAAAATTTTGTAAGTAGAAGGATCCCTCCCCACCCCCCCAACCAAACCCAAATAGCTGATGCAAGTAAATAGGTAAGTAGAAGGATCCCTCCCCACCCCCAACCAATCCCTAAATAGCTGATTCAAGTAAATATGTAAGTAGAAGGATCATTCCCTACCCCCCCCAGCCAAACCCTAAATAGCTGATTCAAGTAAATATGTAAGTAGAAGGATCCCTCCCCACCCCCCCAACCAAACCCTAAATGGCTGAGTCAAGTAATTATGTAAAAGGATAAGTATGTAAGTAGAAGGATAAGTATGTAAGGATACTTTTGTATGGGCACACCTTAGTTCCTATGGTTTTAAAGACTCGCCTCCGACGCGGAAAACTGTGTTTTGCGCTTGAATTGAGTTACTTGTTTTACGTTTGGGTGTTGGGAGTATGTTCTGGGTGTTGGAAGTGGGGTGGTGTTGGAGGTGAGTCGAAACTGGGTGCTGGAAGTGAGGGGGTAACCTGCCCGGAGATGGGTCATCTAAGGGTTGAATGATTCATATTGAATATTGTTTCTTTAAGTTTGGGAATGTCTGTATGTGAGCCCATTTATGCATGCAACTGGCAAGAGCCGCCCACTATGAAACCCATGGCGAGATTTCCGAGCGATTGCGATTCCTCGTGCATGTTTCCTGTTGTTTCCTCACTTTCTACTGGTATTGTGGACCCTGTGATGGTGGCAGCAGTGCTGCACTGGCCGCAGTTGGCAGGTACTTTCTCTGAGAACTTTCTTTGAGTCCATTTTTCCTGCTCCGCCCTTGCGCAAGCTGTCGAGTGCCCACGGTGTCGCCGAGGCGTTCTGGGGTCATGAAGAATTGAAACCACCACAAGCCACCCATTATGGAAGCCGGAAAGGTAGGTTTCGCCAATTGAACATGGCCGACATGGCCTACAGTCATCCATCACCGCAGGCCGGCGGAGTCGAGGCTTGGAACCAGAGCCATCCAGATGTGAAGCAGCTGGGGCATGTGCTGTCCTCCATGTGCAGGGCCACCAACGTCCAGGAAGCCTTAGCCGAGGTGATGGGTGCAAGATGGGTCCCAGATGGATGAGGGTCAACAGCTATGAGACCCAACTTTTTTGGGGTTAGGTGGGACACGGTGGGAACAATAGTTTTCATTCAGCAAACAGTGCGAAACAGTGGTTCTTATGCAACGAGTTGGTATTGCAATGTATTGCGCCCAGGTCCTTTACAGGTAGTATGCCTCAAAAGGAAGGACCCTCGTCACCCAAGCTAGTGTTTTGAAGCACCGCTGTATGCAGCCAATAGATGCAAACATGTCCATACGTGGGCACAAAGGACCCCACATCTACTCAAGACTCAAGAGACCTCGAAACCAACGCACCAACACGGTTTCGTAATGTCCGAAAATTGGTGCACGGCATTCGTGCCTGCATATCCAACACGTCTCCAAACAGTGTTGGATGTATAGCCACATATAGCTATATATAGCCACTCAATATCACTCAATCCCAATTTAGGCGATAACATGCATGTTTTCATGGTACTTCATCATATTTCCATTGCGGAATGGCGTATTCATTTTTGGCAGCCATTCCGCTTATTTTCTGGGAAGTCTGTGCTAGGTTAGTGCTTTGATGTCCTTGGAGCATAACTTGTGGACCTATGCCTACATGCGTGGCTCAGATGGTTTGATTCTGGTTGACCCGGGGTGGAAGTTGAAGATCCCTAAGTGGCACCAGTTGTGCCACTTTGCGCCGTCGGATATCGCATTGTTGAATTCTGGATCATTGATGAACATGATGTGTTGATATGTGTTGTGTGTTGTGAGCATTTGAAAACTCGCCATGCCAACTAAGGCAAACTTTATGATCGCAGTCCGGATCTTTACTATGCCACTATTGCGGCGAAGCCGTCAATGCTCTTGCCAGCCGTCTACACGCCCACTGTAGGAGAAGCGTGCCAGAAGTTCGGCAAAATGCCACTGCACTCTGGCAGCACTTTTGGTTGCCTCAGTGGAGTCTTATCTTTCGCAGGAGACATCTTTTCATGGAGCTCCATCATGGGTTTCTCAGGTTTGCTGATGATGATTAATGGCTTGCAGTATCGATGATGATTGATGATGATGATGATGATGATGATGATGATGATGCTGGTGGTGCTGCTGCTGATGATGATGATGATGATCATGATGATGATGATGGTGATGATGCTGGTGGTGATGATGATGATGCTGGTGGTGGTGATGATGATGATGCTGGTGGTGGTGGTGATGATGAGGATGAGGATGACGATGATGATCACGACGACGATGATGATGATGATGCTGCTGCTGGTGGTGCTGCTGTTGGTGGTGGCGGCGGTGGCGGTGATGGTGATTTCACAGTGAGCGGGTTGGTGTGATGCAGATACCCTCCACCCCCTGCATATCTGAGCAGGTGTGGCCATTTGCACCCTTAAGCTGCAGAGACTTCAGGTATAGCCGTGGCTGCTACTTGCGGATCTCCGATAAGGGGAACTTCAAAGAAGTCTTGCGCGAGTATGCCGAAGCAGAATTGGAGAAAGATGATGCTGGACACTCGACGGAGCTGAAGACTTTCTATTGTCATGTTGGCTCACTAAGTATTCAAAGCTTGTCACGGTTGACTGCTGTTTTTTTTTCCCCCCCCCCTAACAGCATAAGCTAATGGGGTCTTTAGCCCAGAATAGCTCCGGTGTGCGCTGGTGCAGGCGCCGGGTCAGGTTCAACGAGGTTCCGGAGAAGGTTCCGGAGAAGGTTCCAGGAAACCTTGGTGCAAAGCCAAGTCAGGTCCAACAGGGTTCCGGAGAAGGTTCCGGAGAAGGTTGGGGAGGCTTTGGTGCAGAGCCAGGTCAGGTTCAACAGGGTACCGGAGAAGGTTCCGGAGAAGGTTCTGGAGAAGGTTTCGGAGAAGGTCTGGGAGGCTTTGGTGCAGAGCTAGGTCAGGTTCAACAGGGTTCCGGAGAAGGTTCTGGTGAAGGTCTGGGAGGCTTTCGTGCAGAGCCAGATTAGGTTCAACCGGGTTCCGGAGAAGGTCTGGGAGGCTTTGGTGCAAAGACAGGTCAGGTTGTTCCGGAGAAGGTTCCGGAGAAGGTTCCGGGAGGCTTTGGTGCAGAGGCAGGTCAGGTTCAACAGGATTCCGAAGAAGGTTCCGGAGAAGGCCTGGGAGACTTTGGTGCAGGCAGGTCAGGTTCAACAGGGTTCCGGAGAAGGTTCCGGAGAAGGTTCCAGGAAGCCTTGGTGCAAAGCCAAGTCAGGTTCAACGGGTTCCGGAGAAGGTTCCAGCGTGCAAAAAATAAAACGTTGCGACTGTTGGGGATACCACCGAAGCTTATTTTTTTTTTGCAGTGAGTATCAATTGTTGCTTCAAACCATGCAGCTGCATCTTTGCTGATTACAAATGTGGTTAAGGCAGTCATGTACCCACAAACTCCCCGGTGTTACATTTTCATGCTGTCATATATCAGCTATGTCCCCATGAGCCAGTCATTTTCGCCGGAAGCCACCAGCCCTCCAGGCAATTTCCTCTGCGACTGCATCGTCTTCTCAGATGGTGGTCGTATCCTGGGTTTGGGCGACCTGGGGGCCTGGGGGATGGGCATTCCCATCGGCAAGTTGGACCTCTACACCGTCTGTGCTGGCTTCAACCCCAAGAGGATACCGAGGGGTTGGACACGGGGGGTAGGTGGATGGATGTGGCCTCCGATTTTTTGCCTTATAGATCTCTCTCTCTCTCTTTTTTTGGCATGTTTGTTTTTTGGGGGTGTGGGTTTGGCAGTAGAGTAGAGCTGTAAAGCATGTATCCAGGGTGCGGCCTCGCATCTGGTGTAAACGAAGCCTTCTCCCAGCAACGCGGTGTTTGGAGAAGGGGCCCTGGACAGACTTTCGATGCAGCACTTGCTCGGTAATCACATGGGAAACAGTATGCATTTCCGGAATTTTGGGGACAGCTATCTGAAAGCGTAGAAGTTGTAAAGCCGAATCGTTGCAACCTACAGGCGAGCACCTGCTCACCCCACTATTCATCACTAAGACTAAGACATTGGCCCAACATCACAGCCAAGACATGTGTTCATTGGTTCATCTGCCAAAACGACTTGTTGAAGGGATGGCGCATCCCACCACCATGCCTTTCCCCACAAGGTTGGCCAGCTTGCTTGTTACACCAGGACAATCCCCTTGATTATTGATGCTGGATGTTCCGGGCCGGAGGGCAACACCGACAAATTGGTGATCCGCGATAGCCCAACGTACACAGGCATGAAGCAAAATCGTGTCACCGAAAAGTCCCCTGCGGGGACGGTGGTGAATTCAGCTTACTACGGTGAAGGCGCGGGGAGAAAATGACGGAGGTATAGAAAAAGAGTCAAAGAGATTCATAGGGCCAGAATCGGACAAAGTGAGATCTTCCAGTAGATGCATGGTCCACTTTTGTGGGAGGACTGCCAGCATGGAATGAACCCGCAGACGTCCTTCATGATAGATGCCATGTGGAACTGTTTGCAGTTGGTTTCCTTCCTGCAAAGGGGGTATCCATTCGGGCCTGTCTGAAAATGGCATACCCCCCAATTCCACTGACTGATTGTCATTCCCGAGAACAATGCATCGCATTTTTTTCGTATGGATTCATTAACGTCGTCATTCCAATACGTTTATCGTGCCTTTATCCAAATGACCTCCTTACATAGACCACAGGCAATGCAATCATGGAGTTCATGACAGCTGCTACGGAGCTCTTTGGTTGCCGTTGCCTTCTGCAGTTTGAGGACTTCTTCGGCGCCTGAAAAGACATGGACGGTGATGGGGATGTCAAAATCATGAGATTATGGCCCATGACACCTTCAAATAGACCATAAGACCAACACCCAGCGGTTGCGATTTTGATGTGCAAACCTTCAATCACTGGAGCATTGCATGTTAGAAGGACTTTAACTCCAACGATGCCTTTCCTCTCTTGGCGGAGTATCGCAAGAAATTTCTCACCTACAATGATGACATCCAAGGCACAGAGTGCACAATGGTGGCCAGTGCTTAGTTCATGCCAGTTCTGAACTCTTTGATTTTTCTGGCCATTCATTGCCATTGTCAAGTAATTAGCATTACTTGAAAGCTGCCAGTGAGACACAAATAAACTCAGCACACCGTGGCAAAACACCATCATTGCCATCATTGCTATCACCAGTATCGTTAACATCACCCTCATTACGGCAATCCTCATCCTCATCCTCTTTTGACCATGACCGTGACAATTGAAATTCGCCCGCTGTCGCACTGACCTGGAAGGTACTGCAGCTGTGGCTTTGGCAGCGTTGTTGGGTGCCATGAAATTGCGAGATGCCAGCAGCAACCTGCGGGAGCGGAGTTGGCGGGTTGGGAAAGCGCCTGAAAATTTGAAAGATCTAGGGAGCCTGCGTGACTTTGATGGCCAACCAATGCAGGACACCCCAACAATAATCTGAGCATGAAAAAGTGTGATGAATCATTTTTTCAGATCAGTACTTTGAAACCTGGTGACTAACAGATTCAAGGTCGGTTCATGACCATTTGCCGAAACCATCTATCGCATGGAAAGGATTGTTGTTGTGGATGGGAACATGGTTGAAACATGTGTTGTGCCGTGATCTCAAGCAGCACAGCAATCACCGCAAAATCCCAGTCATCACAGTAGTTTTATGGCATTTTATGGCCTACAGTTCAACAGAAATGAGCACCAAATCAGTTGAAGAAGTGCTATTTTCCTCCAATCCCCCCTCCAATCTCCTGGTTTGTCTTTCCAATTGGAGCGCTCGGATGGGCCAGTCCGGCAGTCCGACTGTTTTGCTTCCATGGGGAGCCCTGCAAGCCTTGACGCTGCTGGGCAGCGTGTCTTTTTCTGCAGCCAGCTGCACTGCATTGACCACCATGGGATACTCCCCAGGAAAAGCTCATCCACCAAAGTCTGCCTGTCGCGGCCCATTCCTGGTTGGAGCTGGGAGGCTTTGAGGGTGGCTCCGCCATGGCAACGGAACAAATCCTGAAGCATCGTCTCAACACTTCAGTGATCACGGTTGACACCTTCCTGGGTGATCATGGATCTTTGTGGATACGGAACCCAGAGGAGAGGCGGTGGTATCTGAGACCAGATGGCATTTTTTTTACTTTTCGATCGCTTCAGAACGAACATTCGACGTGCTGGTCTGCAATCGTGTATCTTGCCAATTCAGGCCACATCGACGGTGGCACTGAATATGTTGCACAGCATGGCAGAAAAGCAGATCATACCGTTGCCACAAGTCATCTATATACCTGGATGCTGCTCACGAGGAAGGTGAAGTCCTACTTGAGCTTCCCATGACATGGAGAGCCTTAGCCCCTGGAGGTGTCGTTTTTGGAGATGACTGGCTCTTTCCAGTGGGCGCGCATCGGGATATTATCCACTTTGCTACTGAGATGAAGGATGAACTGGATGACGGTTGGGGCCTCAAGGTGCGACATATTCGAGTCTTAGGTTGTGTTCGGCCTGGCCTTTTTGTATCTGACAGATCCTTCCAGTGGTTCATGAAGAAGTTGCCCCATGTACCCACGGCCCCCGGGGAAGACCCTCGCACAACGATCAGTCCTGGATATAGCTGTTGGAGCGAAGGATATCAGTGGCAGGACATGGCAGGACTGTTGTCTTGAGAAGTTTGGACCTGGCAATCCCAAGTGCTGGGACGTTGCTGCAGGCAATGACTCTGCAGAGACACATTACCATGGTTGCGACTGGCTGGCTGCTGGTAAAAGGATGCGGCTTCGTGAAATGAGACACACCTTGGAATCTTCAGTCCTTCACCTCAACCTGGCAGGCTGGCTTTGAATCCCCAAAGCCTAGGGACTTTTTGAAGAGATTTAAAAACTCGTCAACAAACACTCACCTTTGACTGTTATGTTGGATACCCTCTGGTGAACTAACATAGCAATGGAAAATCACCATTTTTAATGGGAAAATCCACTATTTCTATGGCCATTTTCCATTGCTATGTTAGTTCACCAGAGGGTAATCATCTCCAACTCTTAGTGCAGTGATCTCATCAATCCACTGGGTCGAAAGGAGAGCCTCTTGAAGCAGACCTTTCTCTTTCACGGTGCTGGAAGCGCCAACATTGGCCTCATGCGGCTGCTGAATGAAGAGGTGATACTGACCTGGGGGGCTTAAGCAAACTTGGCATAGTCGGTGCATATGTATAATAGACAATGTATACAAAACATATAATTTCTTGCATACTTGTAGTATGATATATATATATATATGCATAAATATATAATACTATCCATATCTCTCTCTAGAGAGGGACGTTGGACAATGGCTTGAATGGTGTTTGTGAACGTATGTTTAAATCAGATATGTGATGATAAACAGAAGCCCCCACAAATCCACACAGGTAAAGGTTTGAATTGCCAGGCTGCCACCTTTGAGCACAACAACCGCCCTTTCTAGAAAACCCCAACTATGGTTGATCATTCCATATCATTCCCTTAGTCATCCCATCCCCCAATATTCAATATCTTTCCCAAGACGGGATCTAGTCAATCTAGTCATTTTGGGGCGCCCATATGTACATAATATATATATATATATACACACATATATATAAATGTAATTAGTGTATAAAATTTAGATATAGATTCTACATATGGAGTACACACACACACAGATATATATATATATATGTGTGTGTGTATGGTACGTATTTAGATATCCGTATATGGATGCTATTTCGTCAGGCCGGCGTGCCCTTGTCCTCCATCTTCGTGACCAACTCCCGCGGCCTCATCTGGCGCACCGCCGACGGCAGCGGCAGCTTCCGCAACGAAGAGCAGAAGCAGTTCGCGCAGGCGCGGAGGATCTGACTGGGCTTCCCCTGGTGACTGTGAAACCAATGGGAACCAAGAACCTTCTTTGAGGATCATCATTTTTGAGGTGAAGTATTTTGGTAAAGCAACTAGTGACATTTCGAATATCTGAATCTTTTGCCAAGAGGTGGGGGGATGCGTAAGTTCAATGATGCATGCTATATCATCGTTCTGTCGTTCATCTTCAAGCAGATCGAACCATGATTGAAGTCACCCCCCAGTTTCAGGTGGGTGAGCCTGACTTCGACTCCAAGGACCCCCGCAGGGATTGCTGACATGGACGGGTTCGCGAATGCTTGAAGAACTTGGAGATTTCAGTTTAGAATTCTCAAGAAATCCAAGGAGTTGACTTCAAAAGACAGTCACCTGAGCCAAGTTGAGGACTGGTGCATTCCTTTTGAGACCTTAGATCCCAAGCCGCCCAAGCCCATGCGGGCCCTTTTGTAGGATCTGGTGACATTGGTAGAGCAGGTGAAGCCCACCTGTGTGGTTGGCGCCGTGGGCGTAGCGCCCAACTGTACCTCGGCTGCGGTTCATAGTGCTGACTCTGGCCACGAATATCTGCTGTTAGAATAGCTAGAAAAATGCTCCTGGAAGAGTTGGACACACGGTTTTCCATTCATCATTCTTTCACCGTGAAAAACTGGTTCCCACGAGGCTTTACGAAACCGATGATCGAGGCATTGATGAAGGCAGCTGCTGCATAGATTCCATTGGCTTCCTCCAATTTGACGAAGGATGGTCTGTGCTTTGTGAAACTCCACCATGTCAGAATTTCTAATGGATAATTTTTGTGAACATTTCTTGATGTCCATCTAAACAATTCCTGAGTTTCTTTCGGTGAGAAGTGTTTGTTTGTCCATACTGCAATATAAGTAAATAATAGTTAATAATTAATAGTAAGTAGATGAAACAATCTAACCTAAATCACATATATGATATATGATCATATATCTGTGTATGTATATATGTGCACACTATACACATGGTTTCGGCACCTTTTTTTGACATCTGTGGATCCTTCCCATGGTTTCGCAGTGCCAGGTCGCCGAGCGTCCGGTGGTCTTCGCCCTGTCGAACCCCAAGAGCCAGGCCGAAGTCACCGCGAAGGACGCGTACCAATGGTCCGAAGGCGGGTGGTTTCCACATGTTTCCACCAAAAATTTAGGGGGGTCAGATGGGGTCAGAATGCCCAAAATTTGGGGAAACAAATCCCACCAAGTACTTTTCGTACACCAAGGGGTAGAGCAACTTTGGATTTGACCTGCAAAAAAGAGGGGATTCAAGGTCTGCGATGCTGGAATTTGGTGGTGGATGTGTCATGTTGGTCCAAAAATTGACGAAGGCAGGCTACCGGCTACCACAAGAATTCTGGGGCTTATTCTGAGGAGTTCAAAGATTGGTTGGGTAAACTTAGTTGGGTAGGACAATGGGTCTGGTATGCTCTCCAAGGACTGGCTTTGACGTGGTGTGTGTAGGACCACAAAGTCCAGTTTGGTAGCCAGCTGGGCTGCTATGGCAACAGGGCCTAAAGGACACAATCGCAATCAGAGATGCCAGCTGCAACCTTGCCAGAATGTGGAAAGATAGCCTATCTTAGCCTCATGCGAGGCAACTTTAGTTTTTTTGGTGACCATGGAGAATTTTAGATGGAAAAATGATCAAGGATGTACATAGCCCGTAGCTATGAGGTTCTTTTCCATCCCACCCGCGGCTTGTTGCCGGGGCAGCGTAATCGCATCCCACAGTCACGGTGTCAGGCAAGGTGATCTTCGGCTCCGGAACCTGGTATCTTGGCTGTGGCAGATGGGGCATTTCCAATACGAACATCCCATGGTCAAACACGCCTGGCCGGAAAATCGCAGCTGTTCTTTTTCATGCACATTACACACCACACAGATTAAAACACAACAACCATAAAAACCATAAAAAATGAAGATTAATGAGGGTTTTCCATTGTTAGGTTGCATTACAAAAGGGAACATCCAGAGTGGTGGCTTGATTCTCCAGCTGATGTGATCCCCGATGTCATGTGAGAACTGCAGGTTTGCACCTGTGGAGGTTGGTGGCAAGAGCTTTGCGCCCGGACAGGCCCCGTGTATTGAATGGTATCGATCTGAGTGATCTTTGTTTGGATGCCACCATTTTCATAAAATTCTCAGTGGAAACTCCAAGAAGTTTCTAAGACGGAGAACGGGTCCAGTTTTAGGGTTGACATGGAAGACACAGCTCCCCGGTGCAGGTGAACAACGTTTACATTTTCCCGGGCATGTCCTTTGGTGCTGTGTGCTGCCAAGCCAGCAGCATTCCCGAAAGCTTATTCCTGGCAGCCGCTGAAGCGGTGGCCAATAGCTTGGGCCACTGGGCTGCCATGGGCGCCTCTCTTAAAATGGGGGACCCCCAAGTCACCATGGTTGTTTCAATACTGGCACGGTCTAATGAGTCCAATGACTGGGATGATTTGGGGTACAAACCTCCATTTGTAGAGTTTCTCACGAATTTTGAGACTGGTCATGGTTGAAAGTTATGGGACACCAGACCTGTGGCCACGTGACTAGTACGTAGACTAGTACGTACTTATACAGCCAGAGCCAGTGGCCATACCAATGTGTCCCATGCCACTTCCAGGATATATGTATGTATATATATATATATATGGAATATATATATATATTATATATATGGATATATTAGAATATGGTGCTTCTACACATTCACGTATTATTTGCTCCTATGGGATCTGATTTTGCGCCGCCACTGCTTGGAGGTGAGGAGGAGTTGATGCTCGACATGGTGGTGCCCAAACGGGACCGCATCCAGGAGGTGGGTTGTACGGGTTGTTTCTGGATGTTTCTGAAGTGGGTGGCTCAATCAGCACCATCAGCACCAATCCCACCACTTTGAAAAATCCATATCAATCACCATCAGTGTTTCAACAGTGTGTCATCAATCCATATCAATCCACGTTGTTCCATTGAATTCCATTGAATCTATGATTTTTCGCATTTGCTGGGGCTTCATGGAAGCCCAAAGTTAAAGGTGAGCTTGAATGTGGCGACTGCGGTGACGCTGGAAGCCCAAAAGCAGGGTCTTGCCGGGAAGCCTTTGGGAGACGCGGCTGAAGTGTGAGGGAAAAGATTGGAAGATATGTGGAAGATATGTGGAGGGCATGTAGCGACGTTGCTACATGTTGCTACTGTAATTTGGCTGGTGGTTTCTTGGTTTCTTACTTGTCCATGCCTACCTTGGATGCCCTTGGATGATCTCCAACTGAGCGATATTTTGAGATGGCTGGCTCAACAGCTAGTCATGAAATCTGTTTTGGTGGCAAAGTCCTCGGTGTTCTACTAGATCTGTGGATGCAAATGTGCAGCAGGGTCAGAAAGTGAGGTCCTTACCATTGGTTGGTGTGTTTATTTGGTGCCTGTGCTGCTGGCGCCGTTGCTACTGTTCGTGCTACTGTTGGTGTTTTTTCCTGTTGGCAGTGTCTCTGATGTGGTGCTGCGGAATATGCTTACAAATGCTATCAGAGTTTATGATAGTTTATGCTGGTGCATGTGATTGGCATAGGCCAAGAAAGACAGGAATGTGGTTTGGGGTTATCATGGCTGATCTCCACAGTCCACTGTGAATCTTCACACCCCGTCCCAGGAGCGGATTGGGCATCCGTTCGGGCAGCCTTGGACAAAATGAGGTGGACCCCAAAGCAATGAAAGCCGAGCAGCTCAACAGCTGAATGGGGCAAGTAGAGCAGGCTTAAGCTTCTGTCATACGATTGAAATTGGAGATCCTGGTGATCTTGGTGACCTTCCAATACCTTCCACCCTGGTGAACCTGTTGACTTTGAAGAGATTTGTTGAGTCTGTGTACAGAATCTCCAAATAGCGATGCACAGATCAGCTTCGTTCATCGGCTTAGCTGATGGCTCTGCAAGTTACTCTGATTTTGCCTGCTTGGGGGTGATGTCTTCCCTGAGTTCACGCATGGCTGACGGCTTTGGAACATGCGCGGAACAAGCGCTAGGGCCATGATTTCAACATTTGAAACTAACCCATGTTGCCTTTGAAGACACATCCAGATGAATGTATTTCGGCAAATGTTGGCACAGCATCCGCTCTGGGTATTATCCTATGATGCCCTAGCTGGCTCAGCCATTTCAGGATGTGACAACTTGCTGCAGGTTCATTTTTTATTCTCTGGTGATGCATTTGACAGAAGCATTACCCCCATGCGGACATTGGCGCGCCAAAGGCGCCGCCTGAATGACGCCCCAAGAAATCGGGATTTGGATGCCATATAGCAGGACAGCAATGGCCAGCAGTTAGAAAAGGCGAGATTTTGAGAAAGACCGCTCCTTGCAGCGGGCTTGGTTGGGATTGTGAGCCACAAGTGACAAGACTCGAGGGCTGAAGAGCGGACTTCCACTCGAAGAGCTCGCTGTACGACATATAGGAAATTGATGGACTAACATGCCTTGAAATTATATTTCCCAGCACCGCGGTGCCTGACCCACAGCCCAAGGTGTCACCCGACCCAACATGGATTGCCTGTCTATGGGCAGGAGGGGGCCAAGAGGTTGGATTGTGTCCCGAGTTGACCTGCCAGTTTTTTTTTTTTTGTCCTGAGTGGTTGAAAAATGTCAGTTTGGCCACCCTTGATCCCTCAGCCTTCGCAGATTTTAGCACCCAGTCATCCACAGTAACTCAGTAACTCCATGTTGGATCACAACTGGAGCGGAGGACGCAGTGGTGCAGGGTGCCAAGACGCTATTCTCCAAGGTGGTCTCCAAGTGCCGCTGGCAAAGTCTTGGCCGTGCCTGGGAAGATTGATAAGTTCGATAAGACATGACTCCACTGACCTACGAGAGGCCATGATTCTGTTTGCAGGTTTTGGAACGTGAGGCTGAGATTCTTAGTCTTAAATCATCGTAAATCCAGATGTGGCGCTTGAGGTTTATATCGTCTTCAGACACTTCAACCTGACCCAACAGACACATGGCATCACATGGCATCATTTTTTGGTGTGAGGAAGTGGCCCAGGGCGCCGGACATTTGCGCGCGCTTGCAGGCGATCAGTTCGCAATCACTGATATCTTTCACCATGAAACCAGTTGCATCAAGTTGCATCAAGTTGCATCAAGTTGCTGTAGTTTGCTGATGATTTGGGGATTGAGGCTGATTGAAGAGGTTTTCTTTTTCCTTCCCCCAGAGCCCTTTTTGCCTGCCGAGTGACGTTTGGCAGGAGTTCAGCCGCATCCCAGTGGGGATCCAGTTGTCGGGGAACCCAGGACGGTGCTAAGGGCTGCAATGATCTGGAGGTGTTTGCGGAATCTACATAGCCAGTAAAGTCAGTAAAGAGGTTGAGAGTACTCAGCTGCATGATGTGTGGGCTGCGAGCCAGCCACGAACTTCCGACTCGCATTGGGGTCTTACTTTAACATACTTTAACTCCCCCTCTAGTTTGTCCAAACTCGCATGATATGATGGTTTACACAGAGGGGGTAGGAGACAAGCGCGAACATGTTTGCAAATCTTCTTTGCCATGCAAATTGATGCAAATCAGGCTTTGCCGAGAGCAACCTCAGGGAGTGAGCAAGTCTGACATGTTTGCGGCTGCAGCGGCTGTGTGATATGTCTGTGTGATGCCAAAAAGTGAAACGGAACCCCCTGTTGGCTGATGATATGATTATGTTTTGCTATCCAATATATTGGGCATTATCACAATACACTATAGGAAATGCTATTAACCAACCAGCAAAAGCAGCTGGCCGCAGTTCAGCCAGGCAAAGACAGCTCCCTGCCCTTGGAGGTGACGGGTGCCATCAACAGCAAGACGCGTCGAAGCAGTGCGGATTCTGATGCGCCTGGCGCTGAGGGTTGGGAGGTCAGGTTGAGTCCGAGGCTGTTGGGTGAAAGGGGGCACCATAGAATGACAAGGATGATCCATGAGATTCTCAGTTTCATTTCCTGATATTTCCCGAAAAATTTAATGATAAAGATATTCTGTGACGGCAGCATGGAAGTCCGTTACTCTCAGCATCCTTTTTGGTGAGGCTTCTGCCCTTGGATCACGTGACTTTCCAAGCAATCCACAGTACCGGCAAGGAGACATGCACTAGGAGTAAAGTGTTCACCAGGTTTCATTGGTTTTAAGACTGACTTTTTCTGAGACAAGATGCTGCGATCATATCCCTTGTTTGAAGGAAGTGGCACAATCAAGTGACCAAACGCCTCCATATCACTAGGAAAAACTGAGCTGTGGAGGTGATGTAACTTCATCCGTCCTTATTTGTCGGTTGCAACTTGGATTCAGTCTCCAGTTGTGTCAGTTGTATTCAGTTGTGCTATCTGCTGCTATCTTCTTCATTCTTCATTTTCTTCATTGAAGGAGATCCTCTTCTCCACCGATGCAGACGGACGGTCGCATTCAGCTGGAAAGCTCAGATTGGGCCATGGGAAAGGAATCTGAGAACTTGACACGAACTCACATAATTGGTCACTTTGAGTATGAAAATCAACTACCATAAAGTAACTACCATTCGTCCTTCAGGGTTGAACATTTTGCGACATTTTGCCAATTTTGACACACATGCGAAAACTTGGAGGACCATGTGACCATCAGGGCCTCCTGCCAGGTGTTGCATCCTGGGAAGTTTCAACTGAGATGTAACCAGAAGGGGAACTACGACCGGCGGGGCGTCCCAGGCTTTCCAGGCTTTCCAGGCTTTCCAGGGCCTCGTATCACTGCAACTTGGGCAGATATCTTATGTCCATATGAATTCCATATGATACACATGGCATATGCCAATCCCAGAATTTGAGACTCTGTTGGATCTGTCAGCTGTATCCCAGTAAGGCTGTATTCCTTCCACGATGCGGCCAACCTTGGCCCTTAAGGTTGGAGCCAGGTTTCATTGAAGTACCAGCGACCTTTGAACCGCTGCAGGTGGGTTTCCACCGCCTGCTGCGGCCTGGTCCAGCAATGGGACATCTCATGACGTGACAAGAAAAACTCTACTTGAGAAGAGGGCGGCAAACATATGAGCAGATTCTCATTCGACTACACATGGCATTGAATACCCCAAAATTTAAAAACCCTCGAATCGAATATGTATAAATATGTGCAGCATAAATTAATGTAATGCAATGTCGTGTCAGGTCTATGGCACTATGGCTATTGCTATGAACTACGCAACTCATGTTTTCCATCCCAATTTCCACGTGCTGTGCTGCGGGCCAGTTCACCATTGTGGCGAAGATGAAGAAGCGCTGTACCTTTCAAGTGGTTGATCACTTGAACAGGCTGCAGGGTGGGGTGTAGGCCTTGTCATGCTGTGATTCAATCATATCATTTAGGGCGTAGCTGAGCATAGACGGAGGTGGCTTTTCTTGCGGTTTGGATCATGGTGGGGTCATGGTCAACCTCTCTGTGATTGTCATCAATGAGTCATCAATGCTCACCAAGCTGATCGCACCTGCTCAGCCCTCTCGGCCCTATCGCTTTATCCCAAGTTTTGAGTTTTGACCTCGCTGCGACAGCGTTGCTGTTGCTCCCATGGCGTCCTTTGAGCAAGTGGATACCAACAATGATGGTGTGATCTCGCGGGAAGAGTCTATGGGTGGAATTAGATGCCTTTCCATACCGGCTTGGAGGATCATCCCACTTAGTAACTGGCTAGTAACTGGGGTTACAACCTGTGAGGGGGCTTGCTGACCAGGTCATCACTAAATTAATTACCAACCGGGCTGTTCCTCTAAGCACACGTAAATCAGGCAATCAAAGCAAGGGGAAATGCCCCATTTAAAGCTCATGGGTTCTCCCATTGAAATTAGCGGATTTCCAGCCATCTACATAAGCCTTGAGGGGGTAGTTTTGCATGTGTTGCTTCGGCCTTCGACCTCTCACCATGGTATGGGCGTGTATCGGAAAATGATGACTGTGGTAGTTGATGCAGAAAGTTGAAAGTAGTTGTTAGAGTTAATATAACTTGAGTCAAATTGAGTCAACATTTGCAGATTTCGGTTGCTTTTCCCGTGAAAGCCATCCATAGGCCGCAATTTTTGCCCCCAGTCATGGGCTTTCCATGGTTCCAATAGCCAGCCTCCAGAGGTTCATGGCGGCACGGGTCCCAAGCACCTTGCCAGCTGGCACAGCCTTTCCCGGCGCACCCACAGCAATGCCGGGAACCAATTTCATGATGGAACCCGTCACCATGCCACCGGGTGCAGCAATGGCACCTGGTGCAGCCTATGCAGCCCCCACCATGGGCACCATGGGAAGCATGCCGCCCATGATGGGCATGATGCCGCCCACCTATGCGGCCCCTCCGACCATGCCGACCATGCAGAGCATGCAGGCACCCGTGACATATGCTGCCCCTATGGCCCAGGCTGCCCCTTACACGCAGGAGCAGCCCGTGACATATGCTGCCCCTATGGCCCAGGCTGCCCCTTACACGCAGGAGCAGCCCGTGACATATGCTGCAACTCTTGCGCAGTCTCCACCACCTGGGGCGACGTACGCTGCACCAGTCACACAGGCACCAGTCTATGCGCAGATGCCGGGACAAGCACCTTGGCAACGTTGGATACAGTTGCACCACAATAAAAACTCTGGATACTCTGGCTTCATAATACTGGGTGATTGATTGTGGCCACTAAGGCTCTCCCCACAATGCAAACCCTGTTTTGTCAATCGCGCCTCAACAGTGCCCTCTGAAATATTGAAAAGATCAGATTGGTAGTCTCTTTGGTGTCCTATGTTTGTACAATCGCCGTCCATCCAAAGGTTCGCGGACATAGGTTGGGAACTTGACTTGATAGCATCATTTGCGAGTTGAGTGATTGTTTACCACAAGAATGACCAATGTGTTCGGAATCCTCTTGCCGGAATCATATCCCTTGATCCATTACTGCTTCAAACATGCCTCAGCTTGACAATTCCCAGCTACTGTAGTCTTGCGCGGGTGTTGAGACCCGCAACCAGAATCTAACATTCGTGCCAATGTGGCCAACACAATAAGAAATCATTGCTGTTTTGTATGGTTCAGACGTCCACTAAATGATATGTTACTGTGCAGATGGATGTAAATGGGGCATGGTTTAGGCACATTTTCCAAACATGCGTGGTATAAACATGTATAAACCATCCCACATGGAGATTCACTATAGGATTTACCATGATTTGCCTGGATTTGCCACATGAAACTGTTGGTTTATCGGCAAATCATGGTGCTCTGAGGTGAGTTATGGCGCCCCTTCCATGGTCCACGAAGGCACTGAGACCGTGATACCGGAGCCCATCGATGCCACAGTGAACACTGTGGCCACCACTGAGACGACGGTCACCACGAATACCCTGGCACCGCAGCCCAAGAGACCGATCGGTGGAACCATCATGGGCACCACCACTCAAGTGAAGGTCTCCGTGGAGGGTGTCAAGGATTCTGGCAAGGCCGGGGACAAATGTTGTTCATGACAATGCGACTTTACATTGAGTACTGCATAGTACTGCATACGGTGGATAGTGGGGCTGTTGGAGTTTTTGAGTGAGATGGAAACAGTCCAAACAATCCAAAGTTTCACATGGCAGGCCTTCTTGGAAGGAGAGCATCGCCCCATGGTTCAGTCCATGCGATCCCAGGGCGAGGCCGAATATGTGGCAGGCATCAACACCGAAGTGGACGCGCCACCGCAGATCACCGTGCAGCGTCAGGAGGAAGTAGTGGAAGGTGGGGAAGCACAGGGTAGGGGGTTGCACCCAACCTTGCTGGCAAAAGCGGCGAGCCATTCAGGAATTGGCAGGGGAAAATGCTGTACAGCCAATCAAAATAGAAGTGCCGGCAATTTCTGAACAACAGAAATGGAGGCTACTCTGAGTACAAGCAATGCAATGGGTGGATTGTGTAGCTCTGGCCGTTTCATGTTTCCAGGTCAGCAGATTCAGAAGATCGTGGAGATCCCCACCGTCCAAGAGGTAGTGGAAGAACAGGAGGTTCCGGAGGTGCAGGTCATCAACAAAGTGGTGGAAGTGCCACAGGCCTGGGACGCAAATGTTAGGAACACCTCCTCATCCACACATATTCCTGGCTGGCGGTTTCAGATGTTCTCAATTTTCTCAACATTTTCATAACATTTTCTGACTGTAGTTAAAAGTTGCAAGGGTGAAAACGCCAGCCTGAATTAGTATCCCTGGCCGCCGATGGCTGGTATTGCTACAGGTGACACAGCAGGAAGTTGAAGTGGTCCGCGAGCAGATTGTCCACGTGCCAAAGATCATCGAACAGAAGCGGATTCAGCAGCGCACTGTGGAGCAAGTCGTCGATATCCCAATTCCACAGGAGCGGTACAGTGTTCTCTTGGCTTTTACCCCGTTTCTTTTTACAGCGCCATTGCGTCTGCGACAGGGGTAACATATAATATGGTAAACCCAATAATCAACCTGCAATTTGGGAATGATTCAAAAACAACCCATTTATGGTAAGATGGGGGTTGGTTTACCATTGGGTTTACCACAGTGCGGTTCCCTTGCAGCATGACTCGGCCAGCCTTGGTCAGCCTTGGTAGGTGGTTGAGGAGGTGGTCCACATCCCGGTGTCAGTGACACAGACACGACAGTTCCACCGAACAGTGGAGCAAGTTCAGGAAGTTCCCATTCCAATGACGCAACAAGAGGTGCGAGATTGGGCTGGTACTGTAGGATTGGGTGTGCCATAGAGCTTGAGTTCAGGGGCTGTGATCTATTTCCTCTCTTGACCTTACCAATATCAATCTATTTTCACACGTGATAGGGTGAAGAAAGATCTGCCAACAGACTTTGCTATTGTCCCAGGCTGCCCTGCTTTTTCGGAGTCTATCTTTGTGTGAGAAAAAAGGCGAGTTGGACGGTTCAATTCCTATCGCTCAGGTGGTTGAGGTCCCTGAGATCATTACACAGGTGCGAGTTCAACAGCAGCAGGCAGGGCAGGGCCACCTGCGAATTAAACGGGAAATGGTTTAGGGGTTGCGAAAGGGGCTAGGTATTTATATATATATATAATATAATATATATATATATATCATATAATCTGGATTACAATAATAATAAAAAAATAACCATAACAGTAATAATAATCATATAATATAACAGATATACCGATGTTATTAGATATTATTAGTAAGTTTGGGCGAGACCTTAATCTACGCAGTGGTGCTTCAAAGGCTTGAGGGCTTGGGGAAAGCTGAACTCGTCACAGATGTCCTGCATCGTTGCAACATCTGACTCCACTGGTTGTATGCCTCTATGTCCACTGAGGATGATCGCACATCCATTTTGGGATGGTGATTGATAAAAAGTATCTCCCATGATTCCAGTAAGATATTCCCACATCGCCATGTCAGCTGCCATTAAATCATATGAAATCCCATGAAATCATCACTGTTGGCCCACTTTTGAGCCATGACCATTTGGTCAATTTGGTCCTGCCCTGGAAGGTGGTGCAGGAGGTGGAGGTCCCAGTTCCAATGAAGCAGGAGGCAACTTCGCATGAGTCAACCTGTCAACCTATTGCGTAAAAGACACGTAAAATACACATGATGTACAGTCAACATTGATTGCGAGAGGGGTTACATATATACTATATCTATCTATCTATCTATCTGTCTGTCTGTCTGTCTCTCTCTCTCTCTCTTTCTCTCTTTCTCTCTTTCTCTCTTTCTCTATGCAATGTAAAAGATATACATACGCACGTATGCTACAGGTACATGTGGGTCGATTCAGGATCTGTACAAGCACAAACCCGGTGTTGTGTCCCAGGAAGTGGTGCACGTCCCCAAGGTGGTGAAGCAGATTCGCACCATGCACCAGCCCGTGGAACAGATCGTGGAGGTCCCTGTGCCCATGACGCAGGACGGGTCGTTGGGCTGATGTGGATAAGACATATCAGCTTCAAGATGCTTCAAGTGCTTGGATGTCAATTCTATATCGAATTGACCAACAGGATCAAGGCAATTTTTCATGTCACTTAATGATACTTATTGGGAGATGATTTATTCTTGGCCCCTTGGCTTTACATGGCTTTACGACATCACGTGGCTAAAGGCCCATTGTGTCAAGGTTTGAAGCTGGGTCCATGACCGTTGTGACCGTTGTGCTTTGGACCGGAGGAAGAAGTTGTCCATGTGCCCAAGGTCATCACGCAGACCCGGGTGCAACAGCAGCACGTGGAGCAAGAGGTGGAAGTCCCAGTGCCCATCCAACAAGAGGAGGTGGTCCATGTGCCGAAGACCGTCACCCAGACCAGGGTGAAGCACCAGCAAGTGGTGCAGGAAGTAGAGATTCCTGTCCCTATGCAGGAGGAAGAGGTGATCCATGTGCCAAAGACTGTGACTCAAACTAGAATCAAACACCAACAAGTAGAGCAAAGCGTTGAGATTCCAGTTCCAATGCAGGAGGAGGAAGTGGTGCACGTTGCAAAGACCATCACACAGACCCGAGTCCGTCACCAGCAGGTGGAACAGAGTGTGGAAGTTCCAGTGCCTATGACCGAGGAACAAGTGGTTCATGTTCCAAAGATCATCACACAGACTCGTATCAGGCATCAGCAGGTGGAGCAACAAGTGGAAATCCCAGTGCACATGACGGAAGAGGAGGTGGTTCATGTGCCAAAGACAGTCACACGGACTCGTGTCTCTCAACAACAGGTGGAGCAAACTGTCGAGGTTCCAGTCCACATGACGCAAGAAGAGGTGGTGCACGTTCCGAAGACCATTACTCAGACGCGCATCAGGCACCAACAGGTGGAGCAGAGCGTGGAAATTCCTGTTCACATGACAGAGGAAGAGGTGGTCCATGTCCCAAAGACCATCACGCAGACCCGAGTCCGTCATCAGCAGGTTGAGCAGAGTGTGGAAATCCCAGTGCACATGACTGAGGAGGAAGTTGTCCACGTTCCCAAAACCGTGACTTGGCAAAGTATGCTTCGAATCTGGAAAGAACTCAGGGACCGTTTATATTATATATATGGGTCCAAACCGTATGAAGCCGAGAGCCTCTATAGCCTCTAAGACTCTAAGACTTAAAAACAGGTTACTAAGTTACATTAAGTTACATTAAGTTACATTAAGTTACATTAAGTTACTATTTTATCAACCAACTCCAGCTTCTTTCCCTTGACTTCTGCTGCTGGGGCTGGATCCAGGTGACTCAGACCCGTGTTCAGCACCGAACGATCGAACAAACCGTGGAAGTGCCAGTGCATCTTCCACCCGGAGCTGCAGCACAAGGCCCAATGGATGTTCAAATATGTTCAACATATATCGGCAATATATCGGCAAAATCCAGCAAAACATCCTGCAGTCAAGTTGCCCTGAGAAAATTTTGCCAGGTTTGCCATCACAAAAACATATAAAACCATACAATGTGCCATACAATCTCCGGATGACTGGCCTGGTTGATCCTGGTTGCAGGTCCAGTTCAGACGGTGGAGGTGCCGGTGCCCATGACCCAGGAGGAAGTGGTGCATGTTCCCAAGGTGATCACCCAGAACAGGGTGAGGTGCCAGGGCTGCCAGGGTCGGAGTTTGGCATGGCTATCTGGGTGTGTTGAAGATGGGGCGAATACAATGCGCATACGAGAAAAAAACACCAAAACATGCAGTTTTTGTAACGGGGAAATGATGATAACTGATAACACATTGGATGTTTGGGCGCCCCATTTTCCTCTCTCCCTGCCTCCCTGCCAGGCACGAACAGGTGGAGCAGACAGTGGAAGTACCTGTGCCAATGACTCAGGAGGAAGTTGTGCATGTCCCAACTGTCACTTGGCGAAGGTTGGGGCGCTTGGAAGTTGTTGCTGGGAGTTGACGAGCACCTTAGTTTCACCAGCAACCTCGTGAAGGCTGCCCATGTGCTGGCGTTCGCTCCGCTATGCGTTTGAGAAGTAATATGTCGGCCAGGAGTTCTTTCCTTTTTTGGACAGGCCCTGGTAGTCATAAATGCGGACATGCAACAGACGGGAAGGGGAATTGCCTGCCGGAATGTCATCCAAAGTCTCCCAAGAATCCCCAGAAATCGTTTAAAACTTGGTTTCAATGGTTTCAATTCATGCCATGCAGGTACTGCTCACCACATGAGCCCGAACCCAACAGCCCAGGTCGTAGAACAAGAACGCATCTCCCACCAGCACGTTGAGGACACCTTGGTAGTGGTTGTCAGTGGGACCGGGGACTGAATCCTCCATGCTATCCAAATTGCATCCAGACAACGGGACAGTTCACATTTTCTGGGCCGGTGGCCTCATGTTTTTTGGTGTTTCCAGCCCTACTTCATTTGACCATTGGATGACACCCAACCATCATCCAATACTGGTCCAATGCTCTTTAAGATCTTTAAGGGAAGTCAAAACAACCAATGGTTTTATCTTCCAGGAGGTGGTCGAAGTGCCCGTGCCGATGACCGAAGAGCCACTTGACATGGCGATGGGGGCAGTTTGTGGCGTGGGAAAATGTTGGTCACTTTTCATCTTTCTATATCATTTTGGATTAGTATGGATTAGTATAGCTGAACATCTGGGATAACAGCACGAACAAATCTGGGATAATCTTGGATCATGGCCAGATTTTGACTACCAAACTGGGAGCCTCGACCAGGAAGGTGGTGCACGTGCCAAAGGTGGTGCAGCAGGAGCGTCAGCACCATTTCCATGTGGTGGAGACTGTAGATGTTCCAATCGAACAACATGTGGAACAGGTGGTGCACGTTCCTGTGGTGAGCCGTGGGGAACGCATTGTGCACAACCCAGTGGACTTAGAGGTGGAGATGGGTCGGATGGCAGCCTCGGAGTTGATGTTGAGAAACCAACAAATTCATCTGCTGTTTACCCTCTGGTGAACTAACATAGCAATGGAAAATCACCATTTTTAATGGGAAAATCCACTATAAATGGCCATTTTCAATAGCTATGTTAAATTACCAGAGGGTAGTCATGTTTAGTCTATTCATTTTCTTCCTGAGTTTCAGTCCTGACATTCAGGAACTGCATTTCAAATTGACATTGGAGCGATATGGACAACCCCCCAATATCTGTAAATATTTCGGGTGAATGATCATGTGTTGGTATTTGATATCCTCAGTACCGTAGGTGATCTTCTCATTATAGCTGGCAGCAGCTGGCAGTGGCCCCGGTTGGGACAGGTTGAAGTGCCACGCCCCATTGTTGTGGAGAAGTGCATCGAGGTTCCAAAAATTCAGGCGCAGGGTTTGTCCTTTGGTAAAGGTGCGAGCACCAGTAGCTTGCCCCTTGAAGACGCAGTACGACGGAAATCGTGTACTGTTTCCACTCATCAGCAGGGTTTTTACATGTTTTTACCCTGCGAAAAAGGGCCCAAGATGGGAGAAATATTGTCATCATCCATTGACAACCAATTTCTCAATGAAAGCTCCATGTAGAATCATCTGCCGGGGATTGCCCGGCCAGCGATGTTCGACTACGAGAGGATCCAGAGGGCATTCTGTTCTCCAGCTCTGGTAATTTGTGCAGGTGGAGGAGAGGACGGTGCGAGTGCCAAAGATTGTGAACACCGTGCCGTTGCAGCAAAGTTCATGTTGACATGTTGATTCACTTGTCAGCTGCTGAAGTAGTAGTTGCTCAAGGGGTTGGGGATAGAATGTGCCTCTCAGATGCCAGGATCTAAGACCAAACTCCCTTTGTATCAAATGTTTTGTACATTCCATATCCCAAGCTTGTTAGGACAGAAGTTTCCACCCCGAGCATTGCGATCTTGCATGCCTTTTGACTTCCATAAACTGCCTTTTCTGTCGGTTCTAGCCTCTGGCATCCAACCTGGCAATAGGAAATCTGCAATCGGAAAAACATGGCAGCCTCGTGCATAATCATCTCAAACACAGGTAAACATCCACAATTTTCAACAAATGAGGTTCTTCAAGCATCTAAAATCATGAAGCATCATGAACCAATCATCTCTCAGTGGGTTATATGTTATAATATGTTATAATATGTTATAATATGTTATAATATGTTATAATATGTTATCATATGTTATAATATGTTATAATATGTTATAATATGTTATAATATGTTATAATATGTTATCATATGTTATCATATGTTATCATATGTTATAATATGTTATAATATGTTATAATATGTTATAATATGTTATAATATGTTATCATATGTTATCATATGTTATAATATGTTATAATATGTTATGTTATAATATGTTATAATATGTTATATATAAAGTTATGTTATTTGTTGAACACCAATTTTCCCATGAGTTTCCGCCTGACTCTCCTCCCAGGTGGTGGATCGAGTGGTGCGACACTCGATGGAGACTGTGGAAGTGGTGAAACCTACGGTGGTTCACAAGGCCGTGGCGTCGGGAAACTGACCACTGGATGATAGAACGATTTAGAGGAAAAGGCTTCGATTTTTGGGATAGAAACCATGGTTTCCGGCAGTTTTTTGCGTAAATTAAGCCAATGACAATAAGTATGTAGGATAGGAGCATGTCAAAGGAGTGCAGTTTGCGGAATTGGGCTATCATTATGGCAGAACCAAACTTATGAATGGAGATCTAAATCAACCTATATCAAGTCAAGAATTTACTTTCCGAGCGTTGGTTCCGTCTACACAGGGCCAGGTAGCAGAGCTCACAGGGACTTCTGTACTGTCGGAATCACAGGGAATTGACACGCAGAACCTTTAGACATAAACTCACATTGGTGCCCAACAGATAGCGTTTCTTTTTTTTCCCTCCGCCTAACTCCAGCTCCAAGATCCTCATGGTCCATGATCTCAATGGAAAACTGCCAGGTGGTGCAGAGGAAAAAACCCGTGGTGCAGGCCAGAAGGGCCGGGTCAGGGTCTCCCCGGTAGCTCCACTTGAAGCCTGCGGCCTGGGGCAGGAGCGGGTGCAACACGTCCCCAAGGTCTTCATCCAACAAGTTCAGGTGCTACTTATGGGGAACCGCAAGGGAAGGGGCTGCGGGAAGTTGTTTCGTGCCTACCGTGTCTCCTTGAATAACGAGGAAGCTTAAGCTGACCATCTTCAGCTTTGATTGGAAAACCATGGAAAACCCACTCGAAACACTTATGGATCTCTGTGGTCAAATCATGTCGAATCAATAGGGAATGACCAACAGCTGCGGTTTGCAGCCCGATTCCTCCAATTTTGCGGGTATGATCGGCCCTGAGAGACACTTAATCTCTAGCGGCGTACGTCAAGACCTGCCCATCGTTGAAGGTTTCTGAACAATAATTCCCCTGAACCAATTTGATATTGGTTGTGATTTTTGCCTATTTCGATCTGGTTTCATCGTCATTTCCTCATCATTCCAACTTGCTGCTGCAGGATCCCCCCCACATTGCTGGTAATTTTCCAAGGATCGCAGCCCAAAACTCAGGTGGAGAAGGTGGTAGAGAAACCTGTTGAGGTGCCACAGATCCAATTCGTGGACGAGGTCAGCTGCAGCCTTTTTGGTCATCGGAACCATCATTATGTAATGGCATAATTCCAAAAATTGAGGTGACATCTCAACTGAGTCAACTTTTGGATATTCTTGGCACATTGATTCGCCTATTCGCCTATATTCGGACACTATTAGACAAATATATAGCTGCTTCTACTTTTCTAGTGCTTCATTTTCTACCCGGTTTGGAGGCACCTTGAGTGTGAGAAAATCGCGGCATGATGGGATGAATCTTAACATGTCCCCTTCCTTTCGGGGCCTATCCGATGCGCAAATCAATCGTGTATTTGGCAATTTAGGATGGTAATCAACCCATTCAGGATGGTATACATATGTACGCATATATAACAGGCACGGGGGTCGCATATGCCCCCACCTCATGTGGTGTCGCACTAGGGGCGAACGTGACCCTAGGGTAGGGGCGAGTGTGAGCCGACCTCGTTTTGCGTGGCAGGCGCAGTACTGTAGTTTTAGAGTCTCGAAAGCATCGTTTTTCGTTTTCTAGCTGTGACAGTCAGCTACGACGTCTTTTTCGAGTGTCACGTTGTAACATCCGTTGCAAGTAACTCCCAGAGCGCTACGTTGTAACATCCATTTCAATCAACTCTACGACGCTCTGGATGCTACGTTGTAACATCCATTTCAAGCAACTCTACGACGCTCTGGATGCTACGTTGTAACATCCATTTCACGACGCTCTGGATGCTACGTTGTAACATCCATTTCAAGCAACTCTACGACGCTCTGGATGCTACGTTGTAACATCCATTTCAATCAACTCTACGACGCTCTGGATGCTACGTTGTAACATCCATTTCAAGCAACTCTACGACGCTCTGGATGCTACGTTGTAACATCCATTTCAAGCAACTCCACGACGCTCTGGATGCTACGTTGTAACATCCATTTCAAGCAACTCTACGACGCTCTGGATGCTACGTTGTAACATCCATTTCAAGCAACTCTACGACGCTCTGGATGCTACGTTGTAACATCCATTTCAAGCAACTCTACGACGCTCTGGATGCTACGTTGTAACATCCATTTCAAGCAACTCTACGACGCTCTGGATGCTACGTTTGTACATCATTTCAGCAACTTCTACGGACGCTCTGGATGCCTAAGTTGTAAATCCATTTCAAAGCAAACTCCACGACGCTCCGGGATGCACGTTGTAACAATCCATGTAAAGCAACTCTACGAGCTCTGGATGCTACGTTGTAACATCCATTTCAAGCAACTCTACGACGCTCTGGATGCTACGTTGTAACATCCATTTCAAGCAACTCCACGACGCTCTGGATGCTACGTTGTAACATCCATTTCAAGCAACTCTTACGACGCTCTGGATGCTACGTTGCAACATCCATT